ATATGATTAATATAGATTTAATGAGGAAATCAGAAAAAGCCTGTAAATTCTGATCAGGCATTATCTTTCCTCAACTTAGAGAGAAAGCACACTTCTCATTTTTACTTGGTTGTGTCTTTCTGCTGCTTTCCCCTGGATGAGGACCCTCTTTTCCAATCTCATCCAGAGATCCACCACCTCTAAGAACACATTTTCCCTGGCACTAAGAACCACACTTTATTTCTCTATTTTTTGACCTTATTCAGACACAGTATTTTCTTTAACCAATCATTTGTCATTTAAACAGACATGCCCTGCCACTGGCCACTGATTCACATTCATAAACATGTCCTCTTTCAGCAGGGATAAAAACTAGCAGAGATATTGTTGGTATTCTCTCAAGTAACACACTGCTATATAGAAATATACTGGGACTACACATGTAATTTGATTTGTTTTTTTTTTTCTAGAGAACCAGTAATATACCTTATTTAAGTCAAGATACCTAAAATATTATTCCAATATGTTATCACTATAACATTTATTATTGAAGTATTTTATATTCTCCTATTGTTTGTTTTCAGAGACAGGGTCATACACTGAAGCCCAGGATGGTCTTAAAAGTATAACTGTCTCCTCCTCTTGCTGCTGCACCTCAAGTGCTGGGCTTAGTGACATGTCACCATCCTCGGCTGTGTTCTTTCTGATGACATCCTCAGAATGCTGTGTGGATCTTACATTCATAATGTGTCTCAGGTCTCCATGAGACACACTACAAGTGCTCAAGAGCCACCCACACAGCTGACTGTTGTTTTGGACAACACCATTCTAGATTATTATTCTTTAAATTAATGTTTCTAAATAATCTAGAAAAAATATTTTATTGGTACATTCATATGACACATATAAAATAAGAATATGTCTGTTTAAGGTATCTAAACACTTGCTCCTCTTTTCTTACGGCTGTAGTGAGAGCCATCCAAATAGGCACGCCTTCAATAAACTGTTCCCTTATTACAAAACTTAGCGATCTGCACTTAAATATTTTAATGTTAATGTCTCATAACGTGGGAAAACTTTGGTCTTTCTGTGTTCTAATGTTGGAATTTGAAGTTAGTTTTAAATAAGTTAGGAAATCAGACGATGGTTTACATGACACACATAGATCTAAAAGCAAACCATAGCAGATGCACCAGTGTTAGGATAACCAGACACAGGAGCACAATGGTAAGGTGGTAAGGTGGGCATAGAGAAGAATGTGTAGACGATTTTGCAGTCTAGACCCAGTCCTCCCATTAATTAATACTTCCAGCTGAATTACTTACACTCTCTGCCCCTTGGTGTCCTTCTTTATCAACAGATGTTGAGACTCCCAAGGCTTCTCTGCAGGCTGAGTATAATCACATACACAGAACTAATTTACAAAGGAACTATCAGACAAGGGAAAGACACCATTATTATACAGATATACTCCTACTTTCAACTGAGGAGCTCTTTACTGGGCCCTGGATAATTTTAGACAATCCTCTTATTCTTGAAAGACACATTTTGAACTACCCCAGTATAAAGAAAAAATTATTCACTTTTGACATGGTCTCATAGCCATATTTAATGCCACATCACAAGTGTGTGGATATGTTAAAGCAAAGACAAATAATAGAGGCTGGTATAGAAATTGTATATTAAAAGCCAGATGCCATGTGATAATCCATGACTGTAACCCCAATATTTGGGAGGCCAAGAAAGGAGAATAGACTGGCTTTCTAGGTAGCCTGAGATTAAAAAACGTGAGTGCCAGTCCAACTGAACTGTAATGTAAACCCTGTATTAAAACAACAACAAAGAAGAGGTGGAGAGGACAGACACACACACACACACACACACACACACAGAGAGAGAGAGAGACAAAGACACAGAGACACAGAGAAATTACATATTAATTAGTAAGCTGTAATGCACTTGCAGAAATTTTAGAGTAAAAATCTTTACCCAGGCACCTAGTAAAAACCATGTCTTTAATGTTGTGGCTCTGTTTCTTCCTTGGGATCATTAGCTATTTTGGTCCACGAGGGCAACGGGAACAGAAGTAACAGGTTCAGATGGCTGTGGGAGATTGGGAGATGATAGCCCTCCGGGAGACAGACTTTGGTGAATCAGCTCAACTTTATTCCAGAGCATAGGGGAATCATGGGGACAAACCCTAATTTGCATTAAGTGGCACACTCCTATCATATAGCTGGATTAGTGGAAGCTCAGCCCTACCAAAGTGGCTAGAGCACTTGCCCAATTATCATGCGGGTCATCAGGGGAAGAGCGTTTGCAGGGAACTTTGTCAAGAATCAACCTTGAGGTAAGTCAGACATCTGGGCCTAGAGACATCCTCCAGATAAAGCTAGGTAGATAGCAGAAGCTTTTGCTTGAGGGATGAAGGTGGGGTGGGGTGGGGTGGGGTGGGGTGGGGTGGAATCCTCCATGCTGCTGAACTTATGGGAAGCTGCCAGTCTACCTCTGATCAGCAGGGCCTCCCAACACAAAGTTATTATAAAAATCTCTCTTCAGAGATTACCACCAGCCACATTTCTAAGTTTTTTTTTTTTAAACAAAGTTGTCAAATTTTATTTGGAATGTATACAGCATTATTAATAACTGCACTGTTTGGCAGGGAAGCATCATGATTAAAAATAATTTCTTAATGATTTCTGTCAAAAGACAGGTCCCGAATTAAGTATGGTTTCAATTTAAAAGTTGTGCCTGGCTTTACACAACTTCATTCCATTATTCCAGTTAAACAACTGCTCTCTCTTGGAAGACAGCCCCAGCTTTGGAGAGGGCAGAATGTAGGGTTGTTTGGCTACTGCTTGGATGGCGCTGCAGGCAGCACATTGCATCTGAGCTTCACAGTCGCTACCTCCAGCCTCTTGGCTCCGGAGTGCAATAGGCCATGGACTATAAAGCACTAAATGGCTGGGCCTTCACCATTTAGAGATCAGCCTTTCTCCCTGGGCAACGCTGAGGCCATTGAGATCAGCTGAAGGTTCGCCGGTATTTCTAAGCTTCCATCTCCGGGGAACCAGAAACAGGGAACCTTGTAAGAAAGGCCTGCGTGTGAGAAATGCCTTATCTTTAGTAGCCAAAACACAGACATGTGGGAGTTTTTACTTGGCTTCAAGACTTCAGGGTTTGCTACTGCCTCTCTTATTCTTTCCCAATTGGCCCTGTTTTCACTGATCTCACTCTTCTTGGAAACTAAAGGAAGGCTCTGGATGTAGCTCAGCTTGTGCAAGTCCTTAGATTTTCCCTTCCCTTCCCTTCCCTTCCCTTCCCTTCCCTTCCCTTCCCTCCCCTCCCCT